TCTTCTAAGCTCTCTTTTCGAAGCACTCCCTGCTAAACACTCTTTGGTAACATATTGTCAGAATAATGTAACCGGTGTCGTATGTAAGAAATGGGAATTAGGGTGTTTTACGCGGCAGACCGTGTGGTGACGGATTAAGGCATGAACTACTATAGAACAATGGCTTCGGATGGTACTATCATCTGTGGATAGTCATCATATTACTTCAACTGCTTCGTAAAAAACTACACAAACAAGATGACCTACCACATACATATAATTATTAATAACCTTCCAGAACACTAAATGGTGTTTACCTATTATCAATTAAAAGCATCTAAACAAAAATATCATTAAATCACTATATTTAAAATTATTATGTACGAACTTCTCTTTTTGTTTCAGTTTTCCAATTTTGCGATGAAACGATAGCATGAAGATTTCAGCTCCAATGTTGATGTCATCCAAGAGTTCGAGTTGGAAAGTGTACCATGTAAATAAGTTTAGTCAGTTTCCTTGCAATCAAACTCGGAATTGGCATTCAGTTTTATTATCATTAATTAATCCATTCTTTGAAATCCATGGTAAGTACCTAAAATGGAGTTGACAAAGTCGAAAAGGGTCTCAAAGTAAACATGCATTTTTCATTGGCTAGCATCAGTATCCGATACAGTGTTCATATAAAACGCCCTTAATATGCTGAAAAGTTCAACTCTCTCGTAATGCCAACACGTTTAACGAACATAAGATATGTTTTAATCGTCACCGAAGGAATTTTACAATCGCCATCATGAGTTGATTTCCAAAAGTTGGAATGCAGTGCCCACAACGTAACGGTAACAGGCTTGTTCACTGTGTCTTAAATTGGTGGTTACCCAAATAGTTTCCTGGATTTGACGCGAGACATCATGACCGGTGCCACATGTGTGGTGTAGGAAACGCCTTCAGTCACGGATAACATGGATCCGTCTCCGTTATCTTTAATGAGTATAAGAATATCTTATTTTTTGGGGAAATATTCGCGGTTCCTGTTGACGTTCTGTCGTCCGATTTTGCCATTTTGCGTTGATGTTGTGGTAAAATTGTTTTCATTTAAATTAAGGTTTTTTTAATCGCTAACCTAAATTAGTCTTTTAGATATACATAATGATCTTAAAATACCAGAAAATAGTTAAATGCGGGCCTGGCTGTAATTGTGCATTTTTTTGGTTATTTTAGGTAAAAGTTTCAAGCATCAATGAAAATGAAGCGTCTGGTAAGTGAAAAGTACACTATTAAATGAAGTTAATGTTAGTTTATCTTTCTTATTGTTGTATACAGATTGATACGCTCTAGGATGGACTTAAAAACAATGTTTAAGGTTTGATACAAATAAAACATAGATTTCAAATCCAAAATAGCTATTGTGTTATCTTGAACTGAAGGATGTGTGTTAAAACGTTCTTCGGTGTTCCACCACACATACAATATGTTTTATGTATAAAATGAGATAGTGCAGATACCATCACAGGCGATGCTGGTCGGAAGACTGGTTGGTCTGTATTTACATAAATACTGACTTTACACAGTTGCGAGAGTGCTGTACAATATGTGTTGCCATTGACCTACCGGAAGTAGGGTCTGCATTCTATTACACGGACGGTTCAGTCCCATCTGTAGGAATCCAATAAATAAAACATGTTCAGATGGCACGGATCACGCCAATCCAATTTAACGTTTTATTTGAGCCTAAATACTGACGAAATAACTACCGTTTACATCACTACTACTACAATTATCTACATCTGGCGTTGTATGTCGGACTTCTGTCAAGGTCGGCGGCGACCAAACTAGCCGCCACATCGTAACGGAGGACATCCGTCACTGAGATATGTCCGAACAAAAAATAACTAATTTAATGAGACATATCTGGTTCCGACATTCAAGGTCAAAAACGCCAGATCAATTCGTATTAATTAAAAATCATTTAGTGTCATAAAATATGAGCAGGTGGCAAGATATCTGTCGACATTACGTAACATGTGCCGGAGGTCGATAGGGAACGCGTATCTCGTGTTGTTTCCGGTTGTACGGCTACGGGTCAATATAGTTGTCATGTGGATTAGCGTTATCAATGAGGTATTTTACACGTGTTTCTGGAAATGTATAGACCGATTAGTAAAGCAGAATCATCCGTAAGCTGGTGATGTGCAATGTAGTATATCTGGGTTAGATTAATTTGACTCACTTGAAACTAATAAGGGTTGGAGAAATATTCAGATATTGTTAACATATTAGAATCATACCTGTGTCCACAAGACCAATGTCATCTTCAAAAGCAGAATACGCTGCCAAGCCTTATTTCTAGTTCAAGAGAGAAATTTTAATTTATATGAAATATGTTTCATGTTTTGAATCCTCATGACTCATCAACACCACAGGGTCATACAATTCCACATAGTCGAAAACAGGAGAAACGATATCAAAACAGACGGAAACAGGCATGATCCCCATATAACGAAAATAGGCACCGGAAGTGTAAGCTTTCCTGCACCAAATGTGGCACCAGACATGCTGTCTGTTGCCAAACATACGACCTGAACACGTTGACGATAATCTGCTAATGTAACGTCACATAATTATGACGTAATTCACAAAAAGTCGTTATAAAGTGTTTTAATTAAGTTCTGTTACTTTTTGTCAGTATACGAACAAGCAAATATTGGAAATAAAGTAGAGAATTTTAAGAAGACATACTGCCTGTCAATGTTTATAGCTCTATGACATGAACAGTACGTACACATGTATGAGTCAGCCTGCTTCAGTTCCCAGAGAACGTTCCTTCCAATCTGTAGTGTGACTGACCTTTTCGCTAGAGAAACCAGTGCAAGCAACATAAAGTCATTGATAATGTTATTATGATTCACTTTTCATGATCTATCTACGATATGGTTTACTAAGGGCGTTAAACTGCCCCCCCCCCCCTCCCCCCTCAACATAAACACACACACACACACAAACATCATCCATTGGTCACACCCACCCTGTAAGATATTCTTTAGTCCCTATTTCCTGTCAGATTACAGCATATTCTCAAATGAAAATAATTTCTCTGTTTTCTCTCTTTTGTTAACGATGAGACTCGGTCTGATCAGATATAAAAAAAAAATATCGTGCCCTGCCAAAAAAGTGCTAATCATGGCTTCCTTAAATGAAAGAATGAAGATTGGAAACAAAACAATTACATGAGATTATTGGAAAAAAAAATGGTCGTATCTACCATGCTTAGCAAATAAACTTCCTCCTAATGGTATGAATCCATGTCTGTCTCTACAAGTGAAGCAACCATCTTTCCAGCAAAATTCGAAAGCGGTTTTTGTATGATCTTTTGATTATTCAAATATTTCAGAAGAATCTTGCATAGAAAAGCTTCAATGTATAAGCATATACCACCCATGGTTTTTCGTGGCATATGGCCACCACAGGACTCCAAACAGACACTATGGACCTAGATAGTGCCCCTCTTCGTGACGTAACTTAATGGTATCTGGAGGAGTGGTGAGACTTCCCCGTTGTGCCCCCTCCCCAGGGGACATGTGCTGTGCCTTTACCCCCTCCCAAAGAGTCTTTTCTGAAACGTGCCAGTCTGTGTTTATCTCTGGCCAAACTGAAGAGGGGCCCACTCAGGGGGGCACCGGTTATAATTAATCACCGTAATTAGATAAGTTAATTTCACGGTAAGTTAGTATGGATTCTGACAGCCAACACAATTCCCAGCACTTACGGCCCATTGAGAGAACTCTTTTAATCGGGGTCAGCCAGTCCGTTCACGGTCCCTATATCGTGTACCACACCATGTTACAATAGTGAGCGGTGTATGATCTGCTCTGAACGTGTGTTTATCATTGTCTGTGTGTCCAGGAAACGGTAAGACGCGTGCCAGAAATGATCCAATCAGCCGGCTTTGATTAGTGTATTAATTACTATTACAATGTACATTTCTGTGATATCTGTAGAGTCCGTTAGCTACATTGTACCGGATATATTACACAAAGAGAAATGTATATTTCTCTTAAATAGATAACCGAATGCAAAGTAACGCCAAAAACACTCTAAGGTTAGACAATAGCCTTAACAGAGGATAAATCACCAAGGATAGGAGAGTAAAAATACCCGCAACTTTTCCCAACGTCCAGTCGGATATATTATGACAGAGTAAATAATATAATTAAAAAGATCTCGGGGATGTTTCTGGAAAAAAACGACAATCATATGATGGCCTATTTAAATGACTGTAATATATTACTCTTGTGTAATGATTGGTATGGGAAATTACATGTATCTCCCTAACAAAACAAAATGAAGCATAATATAGATTTGCAAAGTATACTTGCTTCGAGTCATTCCTTTGAAAAAAATGTACAATAAAAAACTGTTTTGAAGTTGAGGATATCAAAGTCTTTTGCTAACTTATTAAAGATAGAAACTACACAAAAGTACTATGATCTCAGAGATGTTGATAGAAAAGAAAGAAATAGAAGCAGTATTTTGACCTTTGTGTAATGTTTGTCCTAAATGACCAGATGACCTTTCTATATTTCCGTCAAGGATCTTTCAATACAAACATAATTAGCTAAGAAATGTGTTGAATGATCGATAATCCGGATTTTCATCAAAACTTTTAAAAATAAAAATCGGATTAACACAAAACTATGTTTAGTTTACTTGAAGTCAAACTGATCTAGTAGCCACATTGACAAAAACAAACACACTTAATTGATCTCGACTATAAAGTGTTCCCATTAAGCATACAATACAACCAGAAACTGGTATATATATAATAAATAATGATGTTTGCAGCCATCACACCGACATTGCACAAAGTCGGTCTATAGTGATGAAAAAAACCTCCCCATTAGTTCCTTACGAACATATAACACCCCGCCACACATGTACTTCGTCTTCAGAATTTACAGCTCAGCCGACCCAAATTTTACGCCATTAAAGTTTTGAAGAAGAGAAGAGACAATGTATTTACAAACCTTCTGCACCGTAAGGGGTTGTCCAAACTCCCGGCCCCCCGCGATCCTGAATCCCCATGGTACATCCGGGCGGGGTCTCTGAAGCCATATTATCTCCATGGTGGCCTGGTCAGACCCGTGGGTGAGATTTCGGACACTAGAAAAGTAGAGACACACCGGTAAATGATCGAGAAAACTACGCCAAAAGTTTTGGAGATGAATAGCAGTTGCTAAAGTTAGATAAGTTTGTTGCCATGGCAACACGTGAGCTGGCCTATCAGCTCCTGACTGCGGTACAGATGTAGACAGGACGGGAGAGTTGAACTCTATCATTTCTCTGTTATAAGTGTATACAGCAATGCTAAACACCATCACACCTGGTGCAAAATACTTAAAGATAAGGCTTGGGTTGGACTTTTTAAAGTAGGCATCAATTTCATCCAACTTGCAATTTAAGAGCACTTCAAAATACCTGTAATCAAAAAATTAAATTTCATTTTGGCTCTTAGTTGAACAATGGACAGCTGTTTAAAACGCATCTACTGGTCAATCAATGTCTGGGATATGTCAATATCTTAAAGATAACCCTGTGATAGAATTGCAGTCGTTTGTAAATGAGTATGTGCTACTAGGCTGTTCATTTCAATGTACTTGTCCGAGTCGCTATATACATGTATGTATATACCATTTCTCGTGTTTTACCTCTCTTTCGCATCTGTATATCTAGTCCCTGACTCTTCTCATACTTTTCTTCGCAAAATCATAACTTATATTATGAAAGGTCAAGTCAGAGGTCAAGAGAACTTCAGATCATTTACTAATAGCCACGTTGACCCCGTTCCAGTCTCCTTACCATATCTATAAAAGAGCTGTTCCCACCATAACACCACAGAAACCCATAATAACACACGGTGTGTGAGTAGAGACAGAAAGTTATCACTTTACCGGTACAACCTTAAGGCCAATCCAAATCGAAATGTCATCAATCAATCAAGATAATTTCATCTACAGTTGAAAATAGATTTTTTCATTGTTTCATTGTTAAGCCTTCGATACAAAAACAAGAACTGTTGCTGATTCTTTAAAAAGGCGGATTTGTGATCTGATAATTAATCTATACGCCATTCAATACTAATAGTTTTCCCGTGTAAGATCACCTGTAACCGCAGGCAGCTCTCCAGTAAAATCGAGTACACCTGTCATAGGCAGCTAGTAACTGTGATGTTCGTGTGGTGCCGGAGAGTTGTAATTTTCTGATTGAATATTTTTGTAGTTTTCGTTTTATCTTAATTAAATAATCGTTGAAGTTTTCACATTATTTAGATTTTTTTAGTTCATGTATTTTTACAATTTACTCCGAGTTTCCCCGAGGTTTTTGCATCATGACACCAACATCAAGCTAGGAACTGAGTAAATGTCTGCCATGGTAATAAAACATGTATATATAACGTTCGTGTGTGAGCATAAAGTACTGCCAGAAAGAGGCTACTACTGTGCCTTAATGTTAAAGTACATGTGACAATTATAGTCGTACCTACAATGTGTTAAATAACACGACTGAAAAGGATAAATTACAAATATATACGAATATTATTTTTGAAAAGCTCGGAGTTATTTATATATTCTTCATTCATAAAAAGCATTGGGTTTCCCTGTCATAACAAAACATTAAAAGATATTTCAAGACAAAAAAACAAAAAGACGACCTTTTTATAAGCCGAACAAGTATTTCTTATGATGACTAATGGACAAAAGGGGCGTTCGACCATCGTACAGGTGAGGTCTACGTCTGTAGTTAGAATGTTGCATTCGCTTATTTTTATATTTAACTAGATAACTTGTGTACTTCATACTCTCGTCTCATTAGTATAGTATATATCGCATACACTCGCGGAATAACATACTACTGTTTCTCATTATTCTGTTTATCAAAATAATTAACTAAACATGATAGGCTAAACAAATCCATAGCCCCAGTAAATAGATAGAAGCGTTTTCTCCATACCTTTCTGCTCACATACTGTTTTTGAGGAATAAAATGGCGTCCTAGCCGAATGCAAGCGCATTATTTCAAAACCCTACTCAATATCTTGTACCTGTAGTGATCACAACAGAAGAAAGTTTTATTGTTGTATATTGTTATATAGAACATAAAAAAAGGAAAACAAGAACTTCACCCCTTAGATTGAGCGCAAAAACAACAACAACAAAAAACAACTAAATAAAAACAAACTACAAACACATATTTCCAATGTGTAGGCTAATGTGAATACAAAAATTAACGTATTTTGCTTTGCAAATAGTTAAAGTACTCTGTAGATGCTAATGAACTACATAAACGATGCTCGGAATATAAAGGGAAACTGCGAAAGCTTACAATAGAACAACATAACGACGGAGTCTTGTAAAGCCTCGCTATGGGATTGTCTTGAAGTCAAAACGGATACAATCTTGGGAGCTTCAGATGTACTAAAACAAGATGGAAGCTAAAATGGATACAGTCTTACGAAGCATTCAACGAAACGATATGGAAGAGTGGATAAAATTATCAATACTGTAATGCTTTGCAATGTCTTAAACGATATGGATTCTAAAACGGATACAATATGTTGATGGTTTGCAAGTAAATGGTGATGAGGCCAAAACAGATTCAGCATTGCAGAGTCTTTAAATGGAACGGCGTGGAGGCTGACAGTCTTTTTGAGAAACAGATACAGTCTTTCACAGAAATAGATACAATATTTCACAAAAATAGATATAGTCTTTCACAGAAACAAATACTGAAATGGATATAATCTTTCACGGAAGTAGATGCAATCTCTCCAAGAAATCTGTATACATGAAAATATGTATATATCAATATAATATAAATATAATATATAGTCTATCATCGATATAGATAGTCTTAAAAAGAAATAATATTAAATTTGGCTTAAATGTTCAAGGAGACGTAGCGCAACAGAATGCCAGTGAACTGTTTTTCATCATAATATGCCTTACAATATGCTTCAATTATCTCGGTATTTCTTTAAACTTCATTTTAGTCTCAAAACGTGACGGGCGAAGATCCCCAGAAGGACTCCTCTATCATTGATTCAACCGGCTAGTTTTTAAGTCACTTGCATTGGACCAACACAAACGCAGGGTACGGTGCCTGACTGTACCCTCTATCGTCTTTACGTCTGTCAGCGAGATACTTCCCCTCCTGGTGCCGAGAACGTGCAGCTCTGTGGTTCTGTGTTTAGGCGCACGTGATCACGCGAGATTAATGAAGTTTCAAGATTGGAATCTTCACCGGTAGAAGGCCAGAGAGGCCCTAGACAAACCAACTTGTGTTCATCATACACCTCGCCACCTCAGCACCGTCTAACTGTAGATTATGGGAACACCACGCATATACCTAAATGTATATATATATAAACTGATTGCAAAAACTTATAACTGGTGAATCATAATAAATGCAATTTAAGGAAGCATAATGTGATGAAACTCGATTAAACGTGTTAGAAATATCGCAAGGGAAAGTGATATTACAGCGTTAAGTATCATGTTGATCAACTTAACTGAGATCAAAAATATCTGAGAAGCTACAGAACAGAAAACAACTTGCTATAGAAGATGAACAACCAAATGATGAGTTGTAATTGATGAAACCGAAATAATAACACTGGGTATAGTGTATTCCGTCTGAATATCATACGATATACCAGCATAGTGCCTTGTAGACTTGAGTAATATTTATGACTTGTACACTGTAAACTTTGAACGAAAGCTATGATGTGTACCATGTGTATCTATTACTTGTACTCTGCAGGCTTCTTTTTAAATAACATGATTTGTACCCTGCCTACTATTTCGATAACTATGATTTTTACCATGTAGATTTTTTTAATAACTGTTTTTATCGTATAATAAAATTAAGCCGTTTTTGCCTTTGTAATAAGTGGTATATTTTCAACAACCGATGGAAAGTTATAAAATAGACATTCTATTTTTAGATAATTTTTAGTGCACACGATGAAATGAATACCACGGATGTATGTGAAACACACAAAAACCTCTTTGATTGACACATATTCGTTTAACGGAATCTCAAAAACTACGACCTCAAACACTCACATGACAAGATCCAGCGTGTCTAGACACAGCTTTAAAAGTTATTTATAATTTGGAATGTTAAAAATAACTTTAAGATTTGTGCTTCAAATTGTCTGTTTTTGTCTGCGTTATATGTGTAGAATGTGTCGTATTAACGTGCTAGGCATTATTTTTAATGGTATACTTTTATCAGGATATTAAACAAGATACTATGCAGAAGCATCAATAGTTTATACAAAAGTACATATACATACAATAGTATTTAGAAAAAAATATAGAATAATATTTAAAAAAATCAGTACAAACATTTTGATAATAATCTATACAAAATGTCATGAAATATTTTACAAAATTGACTATCCAAAATTATATGTATTTACATTTTTCCAAAAGAAATTGGGTTCAAAGGGCTATGAACGCAATTTGATCAGTGTCATTTCAAAGCTTCTACCCCCGCCTTAAAACACGTGAGACGACAACCGTCAAAAGAAACAGATAAGTGATGTAAGGCTGTTCCTGGTATCTGGTTTGAACTGACACAATTCAATATCTAAAATATAATGGAGACGTAAAGCTATCTGTTTAAGTGGCAAATACAAGAAAGCTTTCTGGATACGCCGCAGCGGGCCATTTGTAAATCGAGATGAGGGGGGTCATAGACTCTCGCACATCTATGACCAGGTATAAAACAAAGCGTAGCCGAATTGACTTGTCAGTTTGTTTCGTCATTCATACATGTACATGTAAAACAATGATACGCTTATAGCGTAGCCGAATCGACGTCTATTCTCTATTGTCAACTCTTAAATAGGTTCAATAGTGATTTGCCTGATGAAGGTGACAGAGTACAAACCGTACTAGTTATCGAAACGTCACACATGAGCACTTTAATGATAGTGCTGTATGAACCTTTCTACTGTACATACCAACCAGAATAAAATGAGTAGAAATATCCTATAATATCAAATAATCAACCTAAAATATAACTTAAAAACTAAATAGTTATTTGCATATTACAACCGAAAAATGTGAACGGCTAGGGTTATATCGACCATTCCCAGTTGAAATGTTTTGGGTCGAAATAGAAATAGAATTGTTTGATGACAACATTTTGACTA